TTCTGTGAAATTTCCTGGAAAACTCACCCCTCTCTTTGATCTATATCTGCATTTCTGAAGAGCAAATGCCCCTGAAAGAAGCCTTCTCCCAGTAACCTGCTGCTGCCTGGCCAGGCAGGCAGAGGCACTGGTGAAGCCAGAGGAAGGTTTTCAGTGTAGCAAAGGATAGATGTGCATTTTTTCACACCCATCAGTTATTTCATTTCTCTGACAAAGGCTGGCTGGGCTGCCTCCTGAGAATAACAGAACTGGTTATTGCATGCATTCCAGACACATGAGGAACACAACCTCCAGGGAATATTTACACTCTGTGACATTGCTGCCTACAAACCACCTCACTTCTGTCAGTGAAAAATTGCAGATTATATTGCTATTTATTCTTCCTTGATGTTCCACGTGTGTGAGAGGTCTCTTCATATATTGGCCTGTCCTCCCCCACTGCTGCTCAGCACAGTTGGGATGGATCCTTCTAACAGCTGAGACTTTTTTCACAGAATAAATGCAAGCAGGACTGTCTCACAAACGTCACTGGAACCTCTGTCTCCATCCAGTCTGGAAAATCCACACCTGGGATGGAAAGAGCTTGCTGGTGTCTCTTCAAGCAGTATGGTTCAGATGCAAGCTCAGTCCACGTTTATTGAAGGCTGAAAAAGTTTGCCATTTTATCCATCTGGTGGGGGTTATGTTCAACTAATCAGAAGATAAAGATACAAGGTAGATATTTTTATGACTTTTTTTTTTCCAACTGTAGTTCTCCAGGACTTGGTCAATAGCTCCAAAGGAAACAGGCTCATTGAAATAAGAGGCACAAAATACTTTGAGAATGTCTTCCCATTTTGCATGATTGCTTAATCCTGCAAGGAAACTTGTGGAACTTCTTTCTCCCCACAGTATGCTGATGTGATGGAAACATAAGTAAAAGGTGTGCCTTCCTCAAGCCATTGAAACCCCRAAATAGCAGAAATAAAGCCTTCCTCAAGCACTGCTACACAGCATTCAATCCTGGGGTAGCAAATTCCTGGTAAATGCAGTTTGTAGGACATGCATCTCCATTCTGGCTACAGCTGATGACCTGCATGTGGGTGTCTGATACATACATGGCCTTAATTTGAGTGAGTGCAGAATAGTCAAGCTGCAAAGAACTGCTGTCTTGAAAGCTCCTGGCAGCAGGAGGATAGATCCCAAGAGTGTGAAAAATGCAATTCCCTCCCTCCCCTCTCCCAAAGCAGGTTCAGGTACCTGAACAGTTTCCATACCTCCAGAAAATGACCTGGCCTTGGGATGCCATGGGCACAGCCTSYAYGSAGACAAACCAAACACCAGGTGCTGAAAGTCCCACACAGTTCAGCACAGCCCCAGTCCATTGCATGATAAATCCTCCCAAGCTGTCCTGCTTAAATAACTGAAGTCAGCCAAGGAGTGGTGAGCACCAGCACTGAACTCTCAGGAATGAGGAAGCACGGAGCATCTCAATTCCCCCACCAGGGCAGTCTGGTTAGATACTGGGGCAACAGGAGAGACCTCCTACCTATCCATTTAAAAGCACGTCTTATTTAAAACTAAAAATAGCACAGCTTGTGGTTTGGTAGCCAGCTAATCCTGGAGTTAGAGTGCACAAGTGTCCCAGGAGATCCACACCTTACCAATCACTGAGGGGTTGTGTCATACCCAGGGCTAGCTCAGGTCTTCTTGCAAAAATCTCCAACCATTCCCTTGGCACTGGGCAGAGTTTCCACCTGCAGGTCCCCMTCCTGCCCCMWTTKCAGTGTGAGTYCCCCCTGCCTCTCTGTGCTGTGTTWAGAGCCTCCTCTGAACTCATGCAGGCCAAACTTCCTCTTCCAGCACAAGGCCAGCCCCTGCTGCTCTCAGGACTGCCATTGTGGTGCACTTTGGAGCATGTAAAGAAAAGAAATTGGCACCTGCAAGACCCTGCAGGTCTTTCCCTCTGGGCTTGGTCTCAGATGAGGCTGGGAGCAGAACCAGCAGCTCTTGGGCATAAGAAGTTGAGAAGGGCAAAGAGGCTGTGAAAAAGCAGAAAAGGGAAGGCAGCTTGCACCACTGTGTTCAGTTTCCCAAAAGGGAACCTGTGTACCATGCCATCTACATCTGGACTGTGTCACAGGGAGGGTGGGAAAAAGGGGATTTTTGACATCTGTAGCCACCTCCAGTAAGTTTGGATGGTTAGTGGGRGTCAACAGCTTTCCCATGCAGAGCTGAGGATGCTCAGAGGACCTGGGAATAGTCCAGCACCTAAAAAAAACAAACTACTTTCTCTGCAACARMCAGAGGTTAAAATCAASACCAATGAAYACGGGTCAGTRAWGACAATCTGAAAAAAAAAATTAATTACTTATTTGTCAGCATTTTTCTGATTACTAACCKCTCATAATTTCGCAGAACAGTACAGGAAGTTAAGAATAGCTCTAGGCCACAATGGTCTGGTGGGAAATGCACATTAAGAAATATCCTGTTGCCCTTGGTGACACTTGATTATGGCTGTGGTGACACCTGATTTACAGCTGTGTGTGCAGTGGGTGGACATGGTTCCCTTTCAGCTCCAGTTAACTCCAGSTCAGCCACAGCACAGCCTATTGCACAGTCAACAATCAGGTTACCTCCATGCTGGAAAAACATATCTGTTCTCAGGCAYAGGCAAACCTGGCAGGACAGGGGCAAATCTCATTCCCCAAGGCAACACCACATTCATTTCTGAGCAGCTTATGCTTGTGCCTACTCCTGTCTGTATGCTCATACAGCAAAAAAAACCCCAAGAGGTGTTCAGGATACTTCCCAAAGAAACAAAGAATCTGTGACCACACCATGCAGCTTTTTTTTTCCAAGCTTTTAACAATTCTGAATTTAATGGTAAAATCCAAGCAAATGTGACAGCAGGATCTGGTTCTTATGGTCTCTGAAAGCTGATGACCTGGRGACACATCAGCTGCCTTCACTGAGGTAAAGGCATCAGAAGGCAAAAGTGCTGCCAGCTTTGCTGGGTCCAGCAACTGGTACTCTACAGAAGAGTTCCCCTGCTTATGGAAAGGGGAGAACACCTTATTTCAGAGTCATGGAATGCTACAGGAGCTATCAATGAGGGAAGAGAAGCAGCAGAAGATGGAGTTGTGGCAAGCTGACCAGCAGTKAAGTTTGACAGAGAATTCCATAAAGGTGTAGGCAGCCAGAAAGCTGAAAAAGGTTCTTGGCTTTTGACCAAAAATGTAGGACATCTTTCCAGCCTTGTGATCCCACATCTGTAACAATGATGTCAAGAGGTACTTGAGAAGCACCAGAAATGGGAACACTAATGATTCTGGAAGGAGGAGAACTTGACACAGCAATACCTGCCCTCAGCCTCACCAGCCCTTGAAGGGAAGCTGGAAGCAAAAAGAACAAGCCCTTACCTCTCAAAACAAGGTGGTGCTGAGCCACCCTGGGCTGCAAACACACAAAGTCCTCCACACTGCATGTGAGCCACTGCCAGAATCTGTCCTGACATTGCACTCCCATCAGTGCACCCYTGTGAATCACTTCCTGCTAAGAGACCATCTGAGCCAGATTCTGCTCAATTCCTGAGATCTTCAGGGACAAAACAGACACTTGTGGCACAGAGCCACAAATGCAATCGTGTCACCAGTGTGGTTTGCCTCTCTGAGAAAGGAGAGAAACCCTAGCCTGACCCTGACTCTGGAAGCACCCCACATAAGTCTTTCAGGCTCCAGTAATCCTTCCAGGTTTTCCACAGTCTCTTGTTCTAGATGCTTTTTCTTCCAGCTACACTGTTTTCCCTATTGAGGGAGTAAATTCTCCTTTTCTTGCCTACCAAAGTCCCTCCTCATGTTCATCCCTATTTTTTTTTCCCAGATTTTGGAGACAGGCAATTTTTTCAACAAAAGCTTTTGACCTGGGAAAAAAAAATCTCAGTATTTACCAGTGCAGTTCTATCAGTACTGTGTGCATGTCTGTCTTGAAAATACCATTATTATYTCAAGGACCAGCTGGACAGAAATAACATCATAGCCCAGCAAACCAATGACACCTCCTAATCCACCAGCTGACCCAGGCTGTTTACCAACAAAGCACTGGAAACCCATCTTGGGAATGGTTGTTGAGGTCCAATGTCAGACTCCAGCAGATCAGAAGGATACATTCACTTGCAAAGTACTCTGAATTATGAAGATTGAGGGTGAAGGCTGCTGGCAAATAATGGGAGGACACTCACACATAYTCCCCCTAAAGTGACTAAGGTCATTAAATGTCTTTTCTGAACATAGTTCTTCAAGATATCCTCTGGGACCAAACATATTAACAGTAGCTGGACAATGCTTCATAATTCCTGGGACCAACTGAGCCTTCAAGTTTAACAAAAATTAAAAATCAATACCAGGGCCTGAYCCTGGCTGGATTAGAACCTCAAGCTATCTGAAAACTGTTCTCCCCATGACAAATGTAGAGCTGCAGTTTCCTGAAGGGTTTATATGTTCATTGATGTAATTCTGACAAATAGGTTCTTGGAAAATGTCAGCAACAGGGTGTGTAAGACATACCTAACACAAAGAGAAAACACATTCTTCTGTCTGAGAGGAGGACTAAGATGTTTTTAGACAGAAATTACGTGCCTAGAAGGTAGTGCTGTCCTTATGTGTCCCCCCTGCAACACAACATTAAGGCTCTGAGAAAAAACAACACAGAGTGGGACTGGGGAGCAAAAAATAGAAAGACACAAAAAATGAGGCATTAGGTTTACATCACATTTTGTACTGAGCACCGATTCTGCAAGGACAAGAATGAGTTACTGTTTGTTCCATTAAAGATTAACTCAAATGAAACTTTCACCATGAAATACCAGTCAGCAGCTTGGAGATTTAAACTGCCTAACCTTCCCCTGTTGATCTCCAGGTTGTTTGACAGCCCTTTCTGATTGATTAATGGAAAGCTATAAACAGCATTTGCATAAGAATCTCCTTTGTTGTGAAGAGGCTCCAAAACTAGCTTTGTAAAAAGAATGAACAACAAATGAGASACTTCTAAAGCTGAGCAAGCAAAGAGTGCAGGTTTCTACTGTTTATAAGCCAGGTACCATAAGGCAAAAAGCAAGAACCAATGTTGACACTGGAGCAGCATTCCTCTCCCCAGGGGACCAACAGTCAGACAGTTGTGCCAGAATTAGGAGCCCCTAGCAACACACACCTACTGGCAARGGCAGAGGTGTTCCCAGTTTCAATGACACAAATGTGTTTTGTACAGGARGGTATCCAGGGTGTCTGCTGATTGATTGTCAGCAATCAGCAGGCTGACAATTGGAAGTGCTTCTTCTTCCTCATCACAGATGCCATTTGCCCAACTATGGATTGTGTACAAGCATGTGTAAAAGCTCAGGAGATATATAAATATATCTCACTTACCCTGTGGAAAATGGGACAAGCTCTCCTTCTAAAAATAGCCTTGCCAAGGCTGCACAAGCCAAATCCAGGAGTTTTGCTGTGTGCCATCTCCTTATGCAGCTCTTGTCTAGCTGCCCCAGTTCAGGACAGACTAATGAAAACTTGTGATTTCTACTGATGCTCAAACGGTCCCCAGATCTTCCCCTGGTGAGCTGAGCACTGTCCTTGCTTCCMCATGACCCCCAGCAGCACTGTGTCCCACAGCATGTCCATGGAGAACACACAGACTAGGTGAATAACACTTCAATTCCTGCTCCCATCAGTGCCAAGAGGTTTTCTTGGACTTGCAGCAGATACATTAACTCACCTTGCTCCTACTTTGCAGGCAGGGTATAATGAAACTACAGTTTACCTGGAGAAAGTACAGAATTTGGAAACAAAGAGCAGCTCCCAGAAGTGTAATTGTGCTATGTGCACACATCCAAGGCTAGAATCCAGACACAYATCCAACAGGGAGGCAGAAGCCATATTCAGGCTGCCAAGCCTTTCCAAGGCATGACCACAAACGCCTTGGAATGTGCCCCAATGAGCAGCTTGACCTCGTCAAGAAGGACAGCAGAGACTGTTGACCCTGCAGAATAGGACACATCTTGACCCTCATGTGAGGTAACTGCTCAGACTGTGTTTTCTCTAAGAGAGCATGTCCCCACGGGCCACAAGTCCTCAGAAGCGTAGGCAGCATAAAATTCCCAGAATTTACTCCTGTTTGAGCACAAAATAACTTTGCATACACACCCCTGGGTGGAACATAAGGCACAATTTTATTTTCCCTCATCATCCCCTCTCAGCATACATCCATCATGCTGTTTGCTGGCAGCAAGGCTATGCAGGGATGGATCACAGGGAT